GGCCACCCCAGGCTTTAAGCAGGGCAGGGAGCAACTTGCTTGAAGAAAGTGTCGCTGCTCTTTTATTGGCAAATGTGAAGTAGAATGAGAAACCTGATCTCTGGAGATGAATTCTACGTCAGATCATGGATGCAAGCTTTTGGTCTCCCATTGAAAGGAAGTGGTTGCTAAGCTGGCTGAGAGGCTGGGTCTTTTTTCATCCGTTGTTTGCTCACACTGAAATCTGAAAGCAGATTTCAGTATATATATGTTATCTTAAAAGTGCAGATCAATGACAACAGAGAAAAAAGAGGGAAAATGGGAGAGTTTTGATTTTTAACATAACTCCTTGTATTCTCACTAGGAGGTGTGATTGCCAGCTTGTATTGTGAACGTTATCCCTGAAATAACTCTGGGATTGTCAGATAGATTTTTCCTTCCCCTGTTACATGAATCTGTGATTGAACAGAGAATGACTTGGATCCTCTAATAATATCGTGAATCGTTCAGACCATCTCTCGGTAGTAACCACGGCAGAAAGATGTATGTCTTTTGTTTAGAATACCAGTACAGTTTGTCCTTTTCTGAATGTACCTTCTCTTCATCTCCACCAGTCTGCCACTCATCTGAAAGGTAACCTCCCCAGGCTCTCTCCCAAACAGCGTAAAATAACTTAAGAATGAAAATGCCTTAGAGAACTACCGCTACACAAATATGCACTGACCCAGATTGCGACGGGATAAATATTATGTCTGAAAAGACACCCACAGCAAGAACATGCTGAAGGAATTTCATTTTATAAAAGCGTTGGGAAAGGGTACTATTTTGACAGTGGGCAAGATTAAAGTTGCCAGGGAGGTCAATGTAAACACAAATGCCACCACGAAATTAAACCCCATCCTGACAGGCCACAGAACACTTGGCCTCGCAGGGCTAGCGTAGAATGCTCACTGCCGGTCCCCGGCCAGGAGCTGACGCGTACCCTCCTAGAGAAGACACTGTCCTTTCGATGACAGAATGTATGCACCCCTGGTGGCCGTCCCAAGGCTTGGACTAAGCAGTTTGAATGCGATGCACTTCCCTAATAATACAAACCAGGTCTTGGCTATAATAAAAACGGGTGTGTTACCAAAACAGCATGGGGTGCAATAAAATGTCTACCTCATTTATTCATCTATTCATTCATTTTCCAGGTATCTACAATGTGCAGCGCAGTCCTAGGCTGGCCCTCCATGGTCAATGCAAAATTCCAAACTCACAGATTCTTGCCCTGGGGACTGTGGGTCCCTGGAAGTTACACAAAAGAGCTCCAGCAGCCTGAAAACTGGAAATGGTACGTGAAACTTTGTGTGAGAGTCCCCATGTGCATTATTTTCCCCCTTGGGAAAAGTCTTCCAAAGGATTTTAAAACTTATCTATGATATTCCCAAAAGACTAAAAATCATATTCTTAGAAAATGAGAAGGGAATTTGCAGATTCATGTATGATGTACTTAGTGACAGGGTCTAGTAGATTTTTTTTCTTTGGTTCTAAAATAAAGTAACTATATTCACTGATTGATTGATTCTTTTCCCAAGCGATTAAATACTCCAACAGGGATGAGGCACTCACAGAGCTCATTGCTAAAATTTCTTAAATGTCTCTCTGCTGAAGCCATGATATACTTTCTTAGAACTCTAAAAATATCAGTAGCACCTGCACCAACTGCGGGCATAAACTGATGTAAACTGCTGAGCAAATTAATCTCACCAAAGAGAATTCCTTTGACTCAGAACTTCGATTTTCTATAGGTGACAGATAGTCCCAGACCATGTGGTTAAAATTTGAATTGTTCGGAACAACCACCTGTGTGCTCGTGTAACCTCTGGAGTTCACTCTGACTTCCCTAAGATGAGGTCCCTAACTGTCCCATCTCCTGGGAGCTTCTATCTCCTCTTCGATTGTAAAGAAAAGGTCAATTTACATGGAGATACTGAATCAAAGGGAGAAACATTCCAAGGGTGAGATCTGCCCTGAGCAAGATTAAACTGCCAGGGAGAAAAAGGAGGGAATGGAAGAAAAGGGAGAAGGTTCAGGCTGCAGAGAGGGGCCAGTGTAGTCAGAAAGGCCCTTAAAAGCCGGACGGGCAGGTTTTCCCAGTTGCGGGCTGAACCTGAGGTTAGGAGCTGTGAGCCTGGACCTCAGCCAGCGCCCAGACAGATCAGTTTTGTAGCACAGAGAAAAACCCTTCCATGCTCAACCTCTGGCAATTTCTGCAAGATTTACGATCCCCACGGACTGGCAGCTGGGTAAAGAAAAGGGAACTTCCTTTTCCACCTTTCCTTTTTGCAGCAAGTACAGGGCCTCTCTGAGAATCTATTGGATGGACCAGTGGATTTTGACAGAATTCAAAGCTGGCATTGAAAGTGTGGATGAGCCCATAGCCAGGACCTTTTGGGCCGCTGTGTGCCGTGTCAACGCCAAGGGTATATTTTCAGGCACATTTTCAAAAACAAAAATGAAACAGTAGATAGTCTTGAAATCATTTAATAGAACATAATGAAACTTTTAAAGGATAAGATTCCGTGAGGAAGATTAAGACTAATTGTCAAAATTAGTGAGAATCATCTGCTCTCTTCCTAATGGGAAGCAAATTGCAAAAAAAAAAAAAAATTAAAAAAAAATCTGGCAGGCTTTGATGTTGACACTTACACTTGAAAGAGCAAAATCAAATTGTATTTTACGACGATGGAGAGAAATTACGAGACAGGGTCAAACCAGGCCTCTTGACAGCTCATTTTGTTTTGTAGCTTTGACCAAAAAAATAAAAAAAAAAAAGGAAAAAAAAATCACTCAAGATTAACAATATACCCGGTAACCATAATTGAGTCGAACATTCAATTAGGGTTCCTGTGTTTTCGACTGCATATTATCACAGGTGGGAAGGAGAGCCAGTTCAAAACAAACATTGTCCATTTATGGCATTTCAATTAATTTTCTCATTCCAGGGTATGAGAAGACAGCCCAGCCTTGGTGGCAGCTATTTTATGTTTTGGGGTTTATGCAAACTCAAGGGCACACTGGCACGAATCAGGCAGCCAAACGCAAACAATCCACACCTTGGGGAAACAGTTCACTGTTACCCAAGTAAACACAAGCACCTATTAGTCACCCACTCAAAACAGAAATGGCCAATGAGAGGGGAGAGACCAGCTCTCAACGCCAGAAAAGAAAGCACGCTGCTTTCAAAATCTCATTCTTCATGATCACCGATTTACTGTGTATTGCCAGAAAGCCACTGCTGAACTTCTCAGGAGGAAATGCCACTGGCATGGACCATTAAGTAGTTTTCAAAATGTTTACAACCAAAACCTAACACATAGACCCACACAGATGCATATTATGTTGATAATACTATCTCAGGAAAAGCAGCCAAATGATACTCAGCTATGGACTCCTAATAGTAGAAATCCACAGGAACTGAATGAGGAGTGTTCGCTAGCCAGGCAGATGGCCATGGACCCGGCTGCAGGGCCTCTGTTTTTTACTGGCTTTGCACCCGCTCTGCCAGCTACTCATCCAAAGCCTTCAAGATGTTTTCTAAACACACATCTCTGAATCATAATGAGAATTCCATTTACAGAAAGGTGGGGACTTTTAATATAACAAGTGAACCCATTTAATGACTTAGGCTTTTACATCTTATAGCGTCACTCATGCTTTCAATAAGTGGATATAATTTTCTTTGCCTTACCCTATTATTAAACATAGTACTCTGAGCACATATTTTCAATCATGTTATATGTTTCTTATTTTCTCCAGCTACAATTCTATTATGAAAATGCTCCAGACAGCTAGGAAACCAAACAAAATAGCCAAAAAAGTCAACACACATTTACCTCCTTCCCTTCTCTGACTAATCAAATTCCCTGAGAACAGAAATTTTCTTATATTTTTATATGCATTTATAAAAAGAAATGATCACTCTTATGTTTAAATGTTCTTTGGTTGCACCTTCTATTTATTTGAACTCAAGAGGTATTACTATTATTTAGGTATTTATTATATCTTTTTATTATACTTAAAATAGCTTATTTATAAGACTATATTCAGTGCTATATTATTACACAAAAATGAGATTGAAGAAAAACTATCTTATGTCTTTCAATGAAACTTCTAGGACTTGTTGCTGTTTATAAATTATGACTTAGGTTCTTACAATATAGAAAAAACATGATACTCGAAAATAATTGGAAAGCAGAGGAAATTACAATGAGCCAAGATTCTATTCTCTAATATTTTGATAATGAGTTAAAGGCAAAGAAAAATAATACTACACATAGAACAAAACTGATGCAAAAACAGATCCTTGGATAATCTAGTCTCTAGTATTATTAGCACCTCAAATGTTAACCAAGCCTAACAACTCCGCCCCAAATAATAATAGGAGATTCAAAAGAAATAAATATGACCTTCCACTGACAGGAAGGTCATACTGCTATCAATGTTACTAACACTATGTCTTCACATTTTATCCTAAAAAGGTAAGCATGCTTAAAACTGTGTTGCAACATCATACACTAGAGATCTCTAATAACTATTAGAAGTGATCATTTGAAACTCTGTCATTTGTCACAGATAACACATAGATTATAAGTTAAAGGTTTCCATTAGACAGATTTCTGATTATCATCAGAAAGAACCCCTGTTGTATAATCTTGGTTTCCACTATGGCAAATTTTACATTTTTACATTTTAAATAAAAATCTGAGGACTTTTTTTGAGATTCACAATTCATGTTTTGCATGTTCCAAATCAGTCTTAAACCAATTCAGTAACGCAAAGCAAGACTGTAAAGTTAGATTCTGCTAAAAATATTAAATTTTAAATAAGTATTTTTTTAAAAAGCTTGGCGTAGCAGTAATAACATTAAGAAAGACTTCATTTCTAGGGATTCCATCACAGAAACCGCTAGAGGTTTTGAAATTTGGGTTTGTTGCCATGGAACATGTGTTTCAAGTTCAGTTTTGACAGACACATACCTCTTCCACTTCGACCGACAAACCTGAGGTCATTGAATCTTGCGACTTGGTTCTTCATGGCCGCGGTAGCATTTCTCAGCTCGGCGGAATAGTTCTCATCGTTGCCGGCCATCACAGTGACCAGAGTGCCATCAGGAACGTCCCCAAGAGCCACCACCTACACACCAGACAAGACAAATGAAGACATCAGGAATGTCACACAACACTTGTAATGTGTTTGTGTCATAACTGTTCTAAAATTAAATGTACACTAAATTATACTTTTTAGGTTGCCAAGGAATAGGAATCATAACTTCAGCAAACAACAGAAAAATTATTAGTGGCAAGATTTACTTTTTATGCCAGGATGCATAATTTAAATATAAATTTTCAAATAATGAAACATTTAATAAATTCACCTAACAAAGCCACAAAAGGTCAAAAAGTACAGTTGGAAAAAGACTAATGGTAGCAAGAACTTTGAAAAGCTATGCCACCTCATGAATACAATTATCTCTTCTTAATTCCTCATGTTTGAGAAACAGAACGTCTTGTGTTTGTAAGTTTATAGCCTAACCCATCTTTTACTTGCCCAGACCTCTACTGACAGGCCTAACAGGATCCAGTGTTTAAACTTACGTCTGCTACAATTAAACTCCATCTTTGCTGACGATTCTTAAATAAATTAAACTGTCCCTCTGTGGTTCATCTTTGAGAACCCCCTCCTCACTTACATGATCTTGAGTTTCACTAGCAGTGCATTCCAGCGTGCACAGAAAAAAAAAATACCGGAATTATACCTTTTGTTTATTTCTAATCACAAAATCAACAGACCTCAGAGAAAACGGGCACTCACTTGTATGCACTCCCCTCAACTCAGGGGTCGAATTTGGGTTGCATTTTTACATCTGCAAGGTTAACATGTGTTAACCTCATAGATGACTGAGCTTTTCTGCGAACCCAGCTGATCTGGATGAGGAATTCCTTTAATGTAATTGAATAGTATGGCTCTTTTAAGGCTATTGAAGAGAACTGGTGGATAAATATTTTTGATACTTGGGTAATAAAAAAAGGAATTTCAAGGTAAAATGCTCTAAAGAGCATGCCCTGAAGATGCTTTCTGCAACAGTATCCATTTCTTGGCCATCATTTGACCGTTCTAGAAACCATTTTCTTGGTCTAGACATTTATTATTGGCTATATTTCCATTGTTTCCATTTTTCAAAGCAGTCATAGAAAATTTCAAATTGAAATGCCCCCATTTTATTTATTCTTATCATTTCTCACATGCTTCATGGGACCTTCTTAGCCAGTAGTGAAATTTGTATTATTCATTCCAATTATATAATCATTTTTTTGTTGTTTTTGAATTAGTGACAGTAAACCATTCCTTAATTTCCTGTTATTTTTCCTTCCTCCGTTCTGTCTCCCAATTTTTACCTAATAATTGTTACATAATTTTTCATAGTACTATTATTTTCAGTCCTCTTTTTCTATATGTAAATAAGACGGCAGCTGACTCACTTGTATGATAGCAAAGTCATGTTTCTGCAAATTGCCATCTTCACTGTTTAGTCAAGACCCTTTCCCTGTGTTCTCCAGATGACTACATTTTGTTTTTGTTCATCACAGCTCCTCCAGGGCTTGGGTTCTTAGGAGCATGACAGAGAAAATGAACCAACTCCCTAGGAGAGATGAACATACTTCCAAGCCTAAGATACACCCAGGAGCCTCTATCCTCATGGAAGTAGGTAGGCGTTTTTCTCTATTTTATCCAAGGTGCACTGTCAAAGTCTGGGCCTTTTATCTCTCTTTTTAATCCTTTCATTCCAATTGCTGGACATGTTTCTATATAGGAGATTTTAAGACACTGTGCTATTTATTCCCCACGCACCCTCTAATTAGGTATTTAGTTCCCATTTATAAGTGTGTTTGTTGCCATTTAATTAAGAGCAGTAATAGGATAATTCCCTTTCATTTTCAAAAGACATCATTGAAATAAACCTCCCCTATGAGTTGTTTGATTATTGCTCCCAATTTCTTCTGTTCCTACAAAATGTGCTTGCTTTATTCTGCTCTTTTTTAGTCTCTTAGAAATTTTCCCATTTTTTTCACTGTTTTCACTTCCCTCTGTCAGATTAGCTCACAGTGTTGAAATGTCCTCCTTGAGCACATATTTCTACTTCCTCATCCCCATCCCCTGTGGTGGCCCAGGCTTCTCTACTTTAACTCAACATTCACTGAGTAGACAAGGGACTGCATCGACTACGTGGCTCTCAAACTGAATAACTCATTGTTGGGACTGAGTCTGTAAAAAGGTTAAAATAAATAAATCTTGTTTTATAACTACCAAAATGTATTCTAAGCCACCTTCCTCCTACTGCTGTTCCCGTCACAGAGTTCCATGTCTACGCCCCTCTCATCTTTCCAATATCATCCTCATTAGTAATTTGGCAAATTCATGAGACCTTCTTCACCAAGTAGAAACAAACATAGAATAAAATTACCATGGTGGCTAAATAAGAAAAGGTTGTTGATGCTGGTATTTAAGAATACAAAAATTAGGAGTTTAACTCCCACTACTCTCTCTATTTTTAAAATGCAGAATTATTTTCAAAATGCAAGACTCAAAAAAGATAATTTGGGCATTCATATATCATTTACTGGTATCGACCTCTGAGGAATTTAGTTTTTGTTTTTGGATGGGGAAAAGGGTAATATTAAATCTAGGGAAATTTCATTAATAATGTACATTATCCAATTGTCAGCAAGCATACTTAGGCTAGGTTCAAAATTATTTTTTACATTTCAACCTAACATGTCTGGTAATTTGATCCAGATTTTGCCATTGATGGGCAATGTGAAGAGAATGTAAAAATATCTAACTTCAAACAGAAAAAAGAAGCAACTGGGATGAAAAGCTATAAACAATAGGTAAGGGAACACAAACATTTACATTTTAACACAGACCAAACAGACAAGAAGGGACTTGCTGGCCAAAGATATCTCATATTTTGTTTTGCTTTTCTGTTTTTAAAGTATCAGGAAGTTGGGCAAAATATCAACTGTCTTATATACTACATGGACTTCCCAATACTGTTCTTGCCTAGCCTGTTCACAGTTCAAACTGACATTTTAAACCAATTCTAATTAGGTTGAAATTACAGTTACAATTCATTTACTTCAAATCCCTTAATCTTTCAGTGTTTCAAAGAAGGCTGTGGAGTGGAACACAGAATTCAGCCGAGATGACATTTAATGCACAGCTAGGATCTTGCTGCCAGAAACATTATTATTATTATCATCAATTTTTTTTTTATATAAAACGAATATTACCAGCAGCATCCAAGGCCTCTGAACCTCCCTGCTGAAGGCATGTTTATGACTTTGGACTCTGGTGTACCAGGGCCTAAACAAACTGTAATATTAAGAGTATTACAAAATATATCCTAAGTCATCCAAACAGCTCTGCACGGCTGCTTCTGCAAACACTGGATAACACATAGCAAATTTAAGATTTTCTCAGTAGTCAAAATATGTCTGTCTCCCGCAGCAAAGTGAAGGTGTTCCACAGGAGGAAGGGGCGAAGAGAGAACAGGTTGGGGTTCAAGATAAGCAATTTGGATGATTTTAGTCTATTTTAAACAAAACTCATAATTTCAAATCTCCCTTTAGTTCGTACTAAATTTCCATACAGAATTTCAGAAGACTCCCAAAGAAGCCCTTAAATGCTCCTTTCATTAATATTATCTCACTTTGTCACTGTTTCACACTTTCTTCGCTTTAACATAGGGAGTGTAATACTTCTTCACTGATGAACCTCCTAAAGAGACCGAGGCTTAAATTTAAGATCCAAATTTTAAAGTGATAACTTCTGCAGAAACTGCCTGGGAGGTGGTTGAGTGGGTGGATAATAGAGTGGGAATATGGACGCAGTGAATCAATCTGCCATGCAGGCAGGGTCTGAAGTGTAGCTTGCTTTTTATCCCTAACATTTGCATTTGTTCTCCCACTGGAAATTTTGTCTCCTCTCCCAGTTACTCAGCAAGCAGGTCTCCTTGAGGAAAAGGCCTCTCTTTATGAGGACTGGGGGGTGGTGACAGATATGAATCAAGTGGTCTGATTTCTCTGCTGTCCTTTCCTACCCCCTGTATGTTCTCAAGAGACCCACTTGAACTTTCTTCAAGAGATCTACACCTTGATTTTAGTGACCTACAGACTGACACTCAGTAAAACAAATTAATCTTAAAAAAAAAAAATGAATCGTCAAAAGTCATTTTTAAAAGGAAACTATGGTTAGTATGATTTCTGCTAAAAAGAATTCCTTGATGGCTCATAAAAGCAATTTGTATGATTTTTTTCATGTTTTTAAAAGAAACAAAATACTTTTGCGTGGTGGCTCAAGACTTTGCATCGCTCTAACTCCTGAAGATTCATTCTTAAGTGTTTTGGTCTATTTGGGTCTGGGTTCCCTGGCAGAGGAAGTTCAGAAGAGACCCTGATTCTCCACCAAAGAAAGCCACAAATCTCTTAGCTCCCTGGTTTGTTTAAGGGCCCTTGGGATGACTATCAACAGCCTGTCTTCCCTCTGCTCTTATCTGAACTTGACCCCAAGGCCCCACCCTGCGGTCCCCTCTCCCATGGGTGGGCCAAGGAAGTCAGGGCTGCCTCTGTTTATGCGAAGGCTTAGAATGATTTAAAATTGAAATGGGCTCCCCAACGGAATCTACATAAACCGCTGGAAGGGAAGGAAAAGACTCAAGTGGCTGCTCCCCTTCTCATTCTTATCCCCACTATAAAACAAAACAAAACAAAACACTGCTTTCAGAAAACTGAGTGGAAAAGGAGGCAATTCTATAGACCATAGGCAACTGCAAATTTTGTTTTGTTTTAAAAATCACAATGTAAGCTTGGGAAGTCTATAAAACTTAAAAATAAAGAACTCCGACAGTACTTTTTTTTTTTAAGTGAACATTATTCACTGTAATTAGATCAAGACCCAGCTGAGTCCTCGAACTATAAAAAGCTTATATTAAATTAATCTCCCCTTAAAGGGGACAATTATTTAGCCAAAATTTCTTTTTTTTTTTTTTTAAAGAGTAGCCAATCTTTACGGTCTGAATCGTCTGCCTTCATTAGCCCTTTCAATGAACAGGAAATGACCTGCGCTGAAAAAGTTTTTAAAAAGTTGCACTTTTCAAAACCCACCAAAGACAGAACAGAATCCCCGCCGCAGAAATTAAACTCCTACTTCTTGTTGCCAGTGAAGTAGGGTGGTTGTTTAAAAACACCCGGGGTTGTTTTTATATACCCGTTGAAGGCCAAGGTTTTTAAAGGCTGCTCAAAGCTAGGGGACGATGGGGGTGCAAAGGGAACCGAGACCTTCGCAGCCGCTCAGCTGAGGTCGCCCGCGACACGCCGCCCCTCCTCGGGCGGCCGGAGGGCGCGGGGGTCGGACCTCGGGGCTCTCCGCAGACGGACAGCCTCGTCACCTCTCGCTGCCCCCGGCTTAATCGAGGTGAGTCGGCGATAAGGTTCAGGAGGGTTCCAGGGAAAGAAACAGGATTCGCTACTTGCAGCTTCTGGCAGGAAGGAGCAGGCTAGAAGCTCGCAAAAGTCTTCAGAAAACTTTTGCAAACTTCACTACGCCGCCCGCCGTGGACTTTGGACATGCTAATTCCTATAGGGCGTTTAAAGAAAAGGTAAAAAAAAAAAAAAAATTCCTGACGGTTTCCCTTGTTAGTTTATTTTCACTGACCTCAAGGTATAAAAGTATCTCTTTTATTTCCTGACGCCTTCCTCTGAAGGAGACAAAAAGGCTTGGGTGTTACTCCAGAAGCGAGGGCGGCTGTATGGAAGCAGATGGCCTTGTCTCCGCTGGCTTGTAACTTTTCCTACTTTGTATCGAAGCTAAGACCCCTGCCAGGGAGGGCCCGGCTGGCCCTCAGTGCATGTCCCCGGGGACATCCTGACTTGTCCATCCCTCCCGGGAGGCAGCCGGGCAGGCTGAGGTGGGTCCCTCCCTAGGGTCTCCATGGCAACACAGCATCCCGAGAGCAGGAAGATGGACCAGCGGCTCGGGGGCAACACCGGCCGCGCCCGCCCAGCCGCTGCGCTCCGGGTCGCCCCGGGCTTTTCGGCTGGCCTCCGCCTGGCCTCCCACCGCCCCCTCCGGGCCAGTACCTTGAAAGCGATGGGCAGGGTCTTGTTGCAGCGCCAGTGCGTAGGCAGCACGGAGCAGAGGAAGTTGGGGCTGTCGGTGCGCACCAGCTCGCCGGGGTGGTCGGCCAGCACCTCCACCATGCTGCGGTCGCCGCTCCTCAGCTTGCCGGCCAGGGCGGCGCCGGCGTCCGGGGCGCCCAGCGGCAGCGCCTCGCTCATCTTGCCCGGGCTCAGCGCGGTGGAAGGCGGCGTGAAGCGGCGGCTCGTGCTGGCATCTACGGGGATACGCATCACAACAAGCCGATTGAGTTAGGACCCTGCAAACAGCTCCTACCAGACGGCGACGGGGGCGCGGATCTTCAGCAAGCAGCTCCCGGGAGACCAACATACAAGTTCAGGGGCCTTTATTACTGCGGGGGGTGGGGGGCTGGAGAGGGGGGGGAGACTAAATTACTAACAGTCCGGGGGGGCGGCGGGGGGTAGGTTCTAAGTTGTGCCAATCGGCCGGCCTTAGACCCAGGTCAGGGCTCCTAGCGACCGACCGCTTAGTGCATCAAAAAGTGGGCGACCAGAATCCAAAGTCAAGTGCCAAAGCCACACTATCTTCTCCGAGTCTTGCTTTGAGAGTTTCAAGTTCAGTCTTTGGCTGTCACAAAAGTTCTTGGAGGCAAAACTTCCATACACTTCCTAAAATATTTATTCAGAGAGCAAAACGACCAGCATATGTATGATTTGGAAGTTCCGGTAGTTAATCGGCTGTCAGGTTTTTTTTGGGGTTTTTTTTTTTGCGGGCGAGTTTTGTTTAAAGTCCCAACACAACACAAAATACCGGAGTACCTTCCACACGCAACGCCACTTTTACCATGCAAAACTGGCTTTGGTCCTCAAAAGCAAGAGCTGCGACTTCCAAAGGTCGTGCCACTAATGTATGTGCACGTATATATAAATATATACATATGCTCTACTTCATAAAATATTTACAATACAATCTGTAGAGAATTTAAACACAACAGAAATCCATTAATGTTCGCTGCAGATTTTTTTTTTTTAGGTAGCCTTGAAAATCAGCTTCAGTAGCTGGAGCAGGGCTGGGCTAGAAGTACTTGTCATGTTCTCTCAATAAATTCTGTCAAAATGTTCAGTCCAGAAAATTCAGCTTTTCAAAGATCTCCAGCTAATCTTGAGAAAAAAAAAAAAAAGGTCCCAGTTGATGCTCAGAGTACAGCTCTCCACATCTGCGAACTCGAGTTTGGGGATGTTGGTTAAGTTTGTGGCCGCCCCTGTGGTTTGGTGGGAGTTGAGCCGCAGCGGAGTCACACACACGCAAACACGCACTCTTCGGAAGCCAGCCACCGTCTACATCGGCTGGGTGAGTCAGCCCCGGCTCGGCTCCGGCAGCAGCCAGACGATCTTCCTCCAACGTCGCCCCAGCGCCCGCCGGTTAGCTGCTCCCACAAGTACCCACGAGCACTGCGTAACCGCAGCAGGTGGAGCGGGCCTGGGGGCGGGCGGGAGGGGGGCTCCGCAGCGCAGATTGAAACAGACCGGGCGGCTCGGGTTACACACGCACGCACACACTGCCACGCACACGCAACTTCACGGCTTGCCTCGAACCACAGCGCACTTTCTCCCGCAGTTGTAAAAGGAAACAATCGGGGAAAAGTTCACAGCCAGGGAAGAAGTTGAAACATCCAGCCAAAAAGCCAGTTAATTCAAAAGTAAGAAAGAGGAAAAAAAAAAAAAAAGGAAGGTCCAACGCAGGTCAAGGAGAAGCAGCAAAGGTTGACTTCCTTCTAGCGTTTCCAGGAGCCCGGGGAAGAGGTGCCTGCCGGCGCAGGGCCGGGCAGCGTGGTGCCCTGGCTGGGTCCGGCCGCGGGGCGCCCGTCCCGCCCGCGCCCGCTGGCTCTATGAATGGGAGTGCCTGGAAATGAACGTGCTTTTACTGTAAACCCGGCCCGAGGAATTCCATTCCCTCAGCTCTTTTGCATAGGGGCGGCCCCGCAATCACAGGCCTTTCCGGTATCAGCCAGGGCGCGGCTCGCGGCCGCCGGCTCCTGGAATTGGCCCGCGCGCCCCCGCCGCCGCGCGCTACTGTACGCAGCCCGGGCGGGGAGGCCGCGGCCGCCGCGGCCACCCCCGCGCCGCCCGCGCTCCCGCAGCCACGCGGGGCCACGCGCACACACGCACCGCCTTGCTCAGGGCCCCGCCCGGGTGCGGACCGGGCCCTGTCGCGACCCTGCCGCCCGGCCGGGCCTGTAGTGTGCAGCGGCGCCGCTGGCGGCCACGGTCCGCAGACCCGGGAAGAGGAGGAGAAAGAGGCCCGGTTGGCCGGGAGGCCCGGGCCCGCGCGCCACGCCAGGAGAGCCCGGGCCCGGAGACCGACTGGAGGGAGGCGCCCCGCGCGCCCTGGAGACGCAGCGGTCGCGGTGGGGCTCTTGGGACCCGGGCTCGAGCCCCCGGGCAGCCCCAGGCCCTGCGCGGCCGCCCACGGCCAAGCCTCTGCTTCCAGGGCGGGGGTGGGATTTGGCAGCGAGGGGGCGGGAGAGCGGCTCTGAGCGCCCCCGCGGCCCGCTTGGCAGCTGCAGCGAAGTGGGACTGATTCCTTTAATAAGGCCAGATGGTGCTCCGCAACACGGTTTTTGTGCCTTTAGCATTGTCTCTTGGTTTGTTTTCTTTAATTGGTGTTTTTCGCCGCCGCGGCTTGCCCGTGCGGCGCGCCTCGCTGGCTGCGTGTGCCCAGCGGTCAGCAGAGGAGTTCCCTAGCAAGGAGAAGACCCCGCGGGACAGGCGACTGGAGGGAAAGTTGAAAGCATGCGATCGGCTCGCGGCGGCCCTCGGAGCGTCGGCTCCCCGCAGGCAGAAAGCCCGGCACCCGGCCCGCCCCCGCTCGCCCAGCCCCGCGTCCACCCTCCGGCTCCCCGGAAGCGGCCCCGGCTCCCCTTCCCGCCCCCGCGCGCACCAGCGGCCCCGGCGCCGAACCCAGCTTTGCGCGCGGGCGGCAACTTCCCCCTGCGCCCGTCCTCGCGGCGCCGCGGGCATTTGCACGGACCTCAGAGCGCCCCGGCCGGCCCGGCCCCGGCCCCGACCCCACCCCGCCGAGTCTACCCCTCCCCCGCGGAGCCCCAGCCGCTTCCCCGCGGCCCTTTCTCCCCCGGGGCCTCTCCCCCACGCCACCGTGTGCCCCCGGGGGCTCCTCCCTCCCCACCGCGGCTGCTTCGCGGAGCCCCTGAGCTTCTGCTCGCGGGCGCAGGGGGCCCTCCGAGGGCCCCACTCCCGCCGCCTCCTTCCCCGTGGGCGCGCGGCTGGGGTGCGGGAGGCCACCGCGCCGAGACTCCCCTCGGGCGTCGTCGCTGCGGCCCGGCGGGGGAGGGGGCCGTGGCGGGCGCCGACGCCTCTCCCGGGCGCCAAGGCTGCTTCCCTCGCCCCAGGCCGGCGCGGTCGGCGGGCGGGCCGGCGGTGCTGAGCGTCGGGAGGCGCTGCGGCCGCCGCTCGGGGCAGACGCCAGGGGGCAGCAGCCGCCCTCGCTGGCCGTCCCGGGCACCCGGCGGCGGCGCAGCGCGCCCGGAACGCCCCCGACGGCGCGGGGCTCTGCCGGCCTGCCTCGCGGCCTCCATTTGCTCCGGGAAGAACCCGAGTTCCCCAACCAGAGTCGGTCGCCAGAGCCTACTCGAGCCGCCACTTCGCGCCCTCGAGGCCGGGAGCTGGCGGCGCGGCCGGCCTGGTTGCGAACCTTCGGCTCTGCCCGAGTCGGAAAAGCCCTTTTGCCTGGGCACCGCCGTCGGGCCGCCCAGGGCTGTCGCTGTTCCCAGGAGCCCCGGGTAAAGGGTAAAGGCGCGCCCTGGCCCGCGGCCTCGGCTCCCTCCAGCCTTCCGGAGCTGGGCCGGTCCCCTCGCTCCTTTCGCGCCTGCAAACCCAGGACGCCGCTAGCACCCATCTGCAGGTTTCTTTCTCTAAAGGGGTCTGAGGTCTCTGGAAGAACACTTCTCTGTTTTTCCTTTAAAATGATTTTTTTTTTAAGAAGCCCTGTTTCAGATGTGAAAATCCCAAACGTCTCTAACTCACTCTCCACCTTGGCGAAGTGATGCCAAGGCTCGCTGTGCCCGCCGGCCCGCCGCCGCTCCCTCCCGGGCCACCGTGTCTTTGCGCCCGGACTTGGGCGCTGCCTGCTGTCCGGGCGCGGTCCGAGCGAGTGAAACCTTTTCGCCTAGGCTCCAGTGCATCTCCCTAAGCCACCGAGGAACCCCGGGGACGGGGATGGAGCACGAGAGAGTGGCGGAGGCAAAAGTGGGCTTTGACTCGGGGGGAAATAGCTTGACTCTGGAAACCTGCCCCTCAAAAAGGTCAAAGGAGACTTTTTTGGGGCTCGGGCCACTTGCCTAAAATCCCGAACCCCCTGCGAGGGGCTGCGAGTCAGACCCTCCTGCTGTCGTCCCCGGAGGGAGTCAAGTTCCCTTTTTTGAGCGAGGCAAGTTAGTGGCAACAGTGCATGCACCAAGTTAAGCCTTCAAAAGGCAGCGTGGTGGGCGCTGCTCAGCTAGGAGTCCCAACCGATAAATGCGCTCGAAGCCCGACGGCGATAAAAGCAACCGAAGCGTTGGCTGCTTGTCTCCGCAGAGGACCACCGGGCACTTGCGTCCCCGCCGCGCGGGTAGTAAGTGCGCCGCGCCCGTGCGCTCCTGAAAACTAGAAACAAACAGAAAAACCACTGCGCCCTCCTTTTGAGGAACCGAAATGAATGGCAAGAGGCAGCATGGGGCTAGGCTGAGGGGGCCAGGGAACCCCTGAGTCCGAAGAGCTTTTTAGGAGCTTACGCTGTAAAATCCAGTAACACTGTCTACGAAGGGAGGAAGCCTTTTCCACCGAGAGCGCGCATTTTAGCGACTATATAGAAGTTCCCTTCCTCTGCCTATCTAAGAGAGAAAGCAAAGGAAACATCGCCAGGTTCACTCTCAGTGTTTCCCTGCAATGACACTAAAATTTACTTTTGTCACAACGCAAAATAAAAAATAACAACGAAGAGATACGTTGGGCGGATGCTGCGTGACAGATTCTCCCAAATTTGTGGTTTTTAGTGGGGCGGGGGGAGAGTGTGGAGGGATTTGAAAATAGCTCATAAAAATAAAATGTAAATTTCCACAGTGAATTTAAAAAGTAATATTTGGTTAGTTGGAATAAAAATAACAATTTCACTGGAAAACAGTAATGGTTCATTAACGTTTTTCTTCTATAAATTTAGGTAAATATTAACTAGAGGTGATCTCAGAAGAGAAATAGT